TTCCAAAAGAAACAGAAGTCTGGGTAGTAGTCGGTGGAAGGTGGGGCCCTGGAGAAACCTTGAGGAGTTGAAGGGGAAGGGAAGAAGATTCAAAGAGGGGAGAAGAAGACATTGAAAGCAAACTTTTCTTGATAATTTGCTGAATGCTGGTCCTCAGATCAGGTGCTTTGGCCTAGCCTTTCTCTACACTTTAAGCAAGTCATTTTGATGGTCCAGCATACTTTATAGATGTGCACATTTGCTCACACCATATCTGCACTTTCAGAATTTGGGTATTTTGACTATTTTCAGTCAATACCTTACTAAGAGATTCCTCTATTCATCTACTATTTTAGCCTATGCCCCTATTTCCCTTCCATAGCTCATGAAAAGGACAGACAGATGGGCAGGGCAAGGCCATGGAGTCACTGGCACCAAAAGTCAATCATCAAATAATTCAACTGCATTTGCCCATTATTTTTAAAAAAGTACATATTACAGAATCCATTTTATGGTTAAAAAATATTAACAGAACATTAAAATTACAACAAATTAAACATAACATTAAATATTTGCATCCACATTTGTACATGCTGGGTGATAGCTGTGTATTCAGAGATAGCAAGTCTTGGGCCCACTGTCCCTATTGTATGTTGGCTATGGTGCCCCCTCACTAATGTCAGCAGTGGAGGTGGCCAGTGTCCCTCAGGGAGTTGAGGGCTCTTCCCTGATCAATAGAAAATTTTATTGGTCCTACCCTATGCCACATAGATGCTTCCTCTATTAGTTGTCTGTTGCTGCCATAACAAGTTACTACAAACTTAGTAACTTAAACACCAAACATTTACTTAGTTTCTGTTCTAAAGGTCAGAATTTCAACCCTGGATTCATCATATAAAAACAAGTTGTTCCCGCAGGCTCCGGGGGAGAATCTGTTTCCTTACTCATTGGGGTTGTTGGCAGAATCCAGTTCCTTGTGGTTATAGGACTGAGGTTCCAGTCTCCTTGCTGGTAATCTGCTGAGGCTGCCCTTACCTCCTAGAGAGGCTTCTCTCGGGTCCTTGCACTTAGTTCCCTACATTTCAGGACCAACAACAGGGTTTTGAACCTTTTTTATGCTGCCATCTCTCTCACTCCTATTTTTCCTTCTTATTCGTCTTGTAAGGACTCATGATATTACATGGGGCCCATCCAGGTAATCCCAGATTCTCTTCCCATTACAAGGCCCATCACCTTAACCACATCTACAGAGTCTCTTTACTATGCAAGGCAACACAGTCACAAGTTCTGGAGACTAGGGCATCAACATCCTTGAGGGCCATTCTTTTGCCCAACACACTCTCAACTACGAATCATCTGAAAAAGCCTGGCCTTTAGGGTGGTCAGTGTGAACCAATGAGAAGACCCAGCCCTCATGATGCCCAGGTAGGGCTTCTTTACCACACTGATGTAAACGCATGCTGGCTTAATGTTTTGTTTCTAGCAGTAGAACTAAACGGCATAATGAGGACATTCAGTGCCTGTCCCTGGCACCTCCATCTTCCTCTGTATAAGAGTAGTATTTGAAACGTAAAACATTCAAATCCAATCCAAAACATTTCCCTCTGAGTATGTCTATTTAAACATTTTTATAACAAAATATTAAAAGAACTAAGCATAGCCCTAGCTAGTTTGGTTCAGTGGACAGAGAGAATTAGCCTGTGGACTGAAAAGTCCTGGGTTCGATTCTGATCAAGGGCACGTGCTCAGGTTGTGGGCTAGATCTCCAGTAGGGGGAGTGCAGGAGGCAACCAATTAATGATTCTCTCTCATCGTTGATATTTCCATCTCTCTTTCCCTCTCCCTTCCTCTCTGAAATTAATTTTATATATATATATATATATATATATATATATATATATATATATATATATATATTTTAAGAGCTAAGCATAAAGAAGTACCATCCTGTAATGACTTAATGTTTTTCTTGGTGTACATTCTTCCTATTGCACTCGATTTGGCCCCCACTAGAAACTTGACTGCTTTTCATTTGTGCAGTTTCTTCCAAATGCAGGAAAATCCTCTCTCTCTCTCTCTCTCTCTCTCTCTCTCTCTCTCTCTCTCTCTCTCTCTCTCTCTCTCATTTCTGGTCCTAGTGCACACAGAGTGGGCAGGGCAGGACCAGGCACAGCAGTTCCTGTGGGCCAGAAACTGAGTCAGTAGGAAAGTAGTCGATGGTGAAAGAAGATGGACTGTCGCCAGAGGAGGGAATGGACCCCTCAGCATTGGGAAAGGAAAGGGCCAAACTTCCTGCCCTTTAATCTGATACCGGATTAAAGTCATGACTTGTTGGTTTAGACAAGGGTGCAAAGAAACAAAATGCTCCTAATGTCAGAAGCACAGAAGGACCACGGGGTGCAGGACTTGTCCTATCTGCCCTCGGTTTCCTCCCCGCTCACAGAAGGGTCTGCTTGACAGTAGCAGCTTCTTTTTTCCATGAAGGACTTGGGCGGGTATTCCCCAGACTGAGGCAGTGTCGCCTGGGAGCCATTCTGGGAAACACTGGGACCCCATTTGGAAACACTTCCAAGGCTGCTTGATAAGACCGCCCGTAGGGAGCTCTAACAGATTTCCCTGCTGCTCACAGCAGATTCTTTCTTTTCGCTCCCATTCCCAGGACGTGCTTGTTCTGTCCCCAGTGGTCCCTTCTGATAGGACAGGCCTTCATCTCTGATGTGAAGTCAATGTGCAAAATGAGCATCAAAAAGTTCCGAAATTCTTCCCATAACCTCAGCTAGAAGGGAATTCAAGATTGTGCAGCGCCAGTTAACAGAGCAGTGAGGGAAGAGGTGTTTGGTGCCTGGAATAGCATTGCGGCCCAGATCAGTAATTGCCGGGGTGAGGGTAAGAACTCCAACACTTTCATCTAGTTACTAGATTCTAATACCTGCTCTTCATCCTTTAGGAGAGTATCTATGGGAACCATCAAAAGGTTCAAAGTCATGGCTCCTCGAGGTGCCAACCATTGTTAACAAAATTTATTCCTTTTGAGAGTTCACAGCTCTGCACAGGTGTGAGCTGACTGGGGGGGTGGGATGGGGGGACAGTTGGCAGAGAGCAGGTGAGTTCTGTCCTATTAGCGGGACTTTGATGACTTGCCTTGATAATGGCGGGAACTCTTAGAGTGATGTCCTTACAACTGAGCTTGCTTTAGATTTACTGATCTTGTATTACTATTATATATATATATATATATATATTTTACTTCTGGGAAAGGCAGTACGTGTGCAAACAGCAGCGCCTATGGGTTGTGGAGCCCCACGAGCAGAGACTCTGATGGGGCCTGTGGTGCTGTCCGCTGGCACGTCCAGGCCAAACTGGGAAACACTGTGTCTCCCTCAGGGGGCAGCTGCCAGCACAGCCCCTGGATTTAGAACAATCCAGGACAGAAACTCCATGTAATTCTTATGCTAAAAACAGCATCAACCTCACTGGGCTGCCCCTAAGCTCCCTGTGGCTGGACACCCCTTCTTCCTTGCACCCCCACACACCAGCCTCCTTCCTCCTGTCTTCACTGCTTCCAAAGCACACAGCTAGGGCCATCCTACCCTGAATGTACCTGGTCTCGGACGCTCAGCAGGGTCGGCCTGGGTAGGACTTGGAAGGGAGCTTGCTCTAGATTTAATTCCAAGAAACATTTGCTGGCGGCAGGGTGGCCCTCACACTGGTTCACAGGTTTCTTGCACGTCACAGTTCCTACAAGAGCTCATCTTTTCCCACCACTTCAAGAATTCACCGGCTTGATCATTCCTCCAGATGAAGCCGTGTTGTTTTATTTATCTATTTTCTGTCATGTGCTGTGAAAGCAAAGTGCCCCAGAGTCTCTTCACAAAACCCTGAGTGGCAACTCATTTCCAAGGGGAGGCCAGAAGTGTTCCTTTCTTTCCCTGCTCCTTGACTTTGAACGTTCGCAGAGCGCAGAAGCGTCTTTTGAAACACCACACTGTTCAAATGTTTGTCTTTACCTCAGCTCAGGATAAAGCCAGCCCGGCAGGCACACTGTACGTATGCTAACATTCCCACTTGCCTGAGTTACTAAACATTGTACAAAACGTTTCACCTTTGTCAGCTCGTTTGTGTGAGTCTAGTTGGTATAATTAATGATGGTATCTAGCCTAAAAGGGGAAATGGGTGAGTTTATGGGTTTGGAATTCCAACAGTTCTGAGTTTGCTTTCCTGCTCCATCCCTGAACTCAAGCTCGGTGTGACCTGGGAAGACTGTTTAGTCTAAGTATCGGTTTCCTCCTGTGTAAACTAAGGATAAGGATACCTGCATGTAGGGCTGATGTGAGATACATGTAATCTGATGTATAGGAAGCACTGACCCACAGTACAAGGACTATATGTGCTAAACGTTGTCGCTTTTGTTAGCAAGACTAAGCCATCCACTGTGAGTCGTTAAATGCTATGTCTTTCACAAGATGATAATGTTACGGTCGGGGGCTAACTGTGCCATGTACAGTCATGAATGCAAGCTTGCAGGAACCCAGCAAATGCAGAGTGGCCCTGAAATCCAGCCACAGAACGAACAAAGATCTCAAGCAAAGCTGCTGGGAGTCCAGACGAAGCAGTGCTGCCCGGGGGAGCAGCGTTTCCTGGGCAGAGCAGCGCCCGGGCCCTGGCCTCCTCCCCGGAGAGCCCTGCCTCTGTGAATGCACATTCAAAGACTGGAAAACACAGAGCAGCCTCACAGCCCACTCACCCTGCCTGGGCCTGGGTGGGGAGGCACAGCACTTCCTGACAGGCGTTCAGGCCTCAACAATGAAACACCTCTAAGCCCCCGTGAGGGCATGAGAACGCTCGCTGGACTTCTCCTATAGAAGGAAGGGGCCTCCACCCACTTGATGAATCGCACTTGAGCAATCTCCTGACATCTGAGGCTGGCACTGGTTCTGAAATTTCCCTGCTGCCTTTCTCGCTCTCAGTAAGGGACTATGCGTTAGATATGGTTCCAGTATGAGAAGTGCTCGGCCCTCTTCTGAATGTCTCTCCTGTTGAATGATCTCCTAGAGAAAAGGAGATTCCAAATCAACAGCTCCATTAAAAAACACTTCCCTGGGTCCAAGGGAGGGGGCGCGGCGTGTTATTTCAGTTAGCCCAGGATTGGGAAGGGGTCCAGTTTTTCTTGGGACTACGGAGCTGCCTGACAACGCCACCCAAAGCCTCTCTTCGCTGAATAATAGTCCTGAGGTTCAAACTCTCACTCACTCCGGGAAACAGAGTCGGGGAAAGATGGCAACAGTTGGCTCTGACGTTTCCTTGAGGCAGAAGTGCCAGGTCTGAGGAAGCGCAGCGCCCCTGAGATTCTGCCTGACACAAGCGTGACATGCGCGAGCCTTTGCCCACACGCCGTGGTTACACGCGTGCCACGAAGCCGTGGGCTTCCTGTGCGAGGACTTTGATTTCCTCCAATTCCCATCGTTACTTTCCTCGCCAGCTCCTCCTCCTCACCGCACCCAGGTCTCTTTCACAAGGACTCATTCCGGTAACACTTGCACAGAGAGAAAGGGCTTTACTTGGTGACTTTTGGTTTACAGGATCGCTGGTGAACAATCAGTCTGTCTGGCAGGAAGGTACGCCCACAAATACTGCAGGGAACCAACTGGCTCTGGGCACTTCTCCAAGCAGCTTCGTTTAAGGAATCGAGATCATAGAAACCTTTGGCTGGGAAGTTGAAGGAGAAAAAAAAAAAAAAAAAGAAAAAAAGAAAAGGAAAAGAAAATGGTAAAATGGATCCGTTTTCATTGTGGAGAACCATATTCTACTTTTTTATGGAAAATATTTTCAGGAAATACCTGTTGACGGAGGTTTTTAAACAAGTTATATTACTTTGGCTCCCCCCAAAAAGTGCTGTTCACTCAAGGGTTGAGGAAAGTTTGCTATGAACCAGAGGCTTTTTGCTCCCTGGATTTTAAAAAAGGGAAAGATATTGTTTTATGTGTTACGATATGCATTCGGTACTAATTATTAACATCTTTGCTTACACATTAGTATGTTGCAAATATAACTTTTGGCTTTCTTTTAGTTGACTCTAAATATAAACTTACACAGGAAAGAGAACATGTATTTGTATTCTCCTCTTCCGTAATCCTTCAGTGGAATGTGTTTAGAGGCCAACACTGACAGTCACGAGTGAATTTAAGATAAATTATATCATAAAAATTTATCATCTCTTTAAGGCCATAAACTCAGAGATTCTTTAAGTAATTAAAGTGAAGAATGCAAACAGAATAGTTAATCTGATGAAAAGAAGTGCCCTTAGGAAAACAAAGACGACAGCTGAAAGATGTACAATCTCCATTGGCAGAGCATAGGAAAAAAGGCATATGGCTTTATTTTAGAGAAACAGTGTGGGACTTAGCTTTAATGAACCTTTTTTAAATAGAACTATTTTAGTACATTAAATTGAGTATGTCTTAGAATCTCCCAAAATAGGCCCCCAAAGTGTAGCCAGGCCCTCAAAAATATATAACATAGTTTTTCTCATTTTCATAGCATATATTTCCTCATTAAAGCCCAGGCCATTCTCAGATGATTTCTGTCTCCATAGCAAACTTCAGATTTCTTAACATGCCTACTTCAATTATTGGTTTCTTTTCTTCATGGAAAATTAATTAAAATCCAGCAAATCTAGTATTTCTCCTTGGGATAAAGCAAGTGTCAATTTCTACATAGGTTATTAAAGTGTTTTTCAGTGCTTTGAAAATGGTTGCAAAAATAATGGCACTGACTTTCTTCTTACTCATAAGGTGTAAAAATGACTAAAAATTCCAGAGTATTCATTATCAGATGATTCATCACATCTCTCACAGTGTTTGCATTGGGCTCTGACTTTGGATCTGGAAGAAGGGTTATTTGAAGTCTATGGCTACAGTAACTCATGGGGTGGAAGTGGTCATGGGAATTCTCTTGGTCTAGAAAAGAAAGACCCCTTCAGAAGTAAAAATAACCCAAGGTCAACAGGAAAATCACAGGGGGTGTAGTTGAAGGGTCTAATTTTTCCAGTAATAATAGATGAATGAACACACCAGGGCTTTCAAAATGGTCATTTCTTGCCCCTCTTCTTGACTTGTGATAATTATGTTCAAAGCAGAGAAAGTGATAAATGTTGGAAGTGAACAAAACACATTTTGATATCAAATGAGAATTGCTGGGAGAGAGCTTCAATGAGGCAAACAATCTTTTTCTATGTAAATGCTCTAGTTTTCACTTGAGTTTTTTCTCCATCTCTACTCAGAGTCCTTCTCTAACAAGAACTGTGAAAAGTTTAATTCTAGAAGCATCTAGAACTTTATTATGATAATCTAAATTCCATTCTGTGGGTCGTTAAACATTCTTTTAGGTCACATCTCTAATAGGAGTGCTTTGGACTAAATGATACTAAATAACCTCCAAGGCACCTTTCAGCTCTGGAAATCTATGGCTACATAGGAGAATGAAGGAACCGTGTAATACTCCTCTTAAAACCAAGAATGATACTCTTTTGAGGGGAATTAGAGGATCAACTGAGAATATAACAATGGTAGAAATGAGAAAGTCAGAGCTTATATGGCAAAAAATACTCTCTGAACTACTTTATTCTCATGCCCTAACAGAATATGCATAAGGTTCTGAAATAAGGCCACACATGGTAGTGTATGGAGTTCCAGTTTCATTTGGCTTGTGCACTGCTTATCAAAGTTCTAATGGTTAAGTTTTAAAGATGTGGACATTTCATACAGATGTCTAGATTTCCCATTTCTTTTGTATTTTTGAAAGGCATAACCCTACTTGTGCTAAATTTCTTAATAATAGCACCAGCTGAAACCGGGCAGCAGCTGTCTGCTTTAGAGGAAACTACTGCTTTCCAGGTCCCGTAGACTTCACTGCCCCTCTTTTCACACCTGGACCAACGTATTCCATTTTGGAACCTGATTAGTGGACTCTATAAGCATTTGAGTTTGGTACTCCCGTTCTACAAACTCGAAGATGCATTCATATTTGAAAACATGTCACCATATGGCTCCAAACGTGTGTGTTTTTTAAGCTTCAATGTTTTTAAATATTATGTTTGATAACATATAAAAGCAACTTTTGAGAAAGCTGTAAATTCCAGCAGGTCTTTCTCCTTGCGCAGTTTTGCCAAGACATTGCGTCTTTATATCTCAGCATTTGTGGGCAACACTTTGGGAAGGCATTCCAGAACTCTTTCTCCTATTCAACTGTAGCCAGGGCAGTAAATACTGCTGATTTTAGTTGTGTGAACAAGAGAGAAAAGAATATCTCTACTCTTACAGGTTTAGAGAGAAATGTCTCCCCTTATGTACCCGAGTCATTTCACCCAGAAACTTACCACTGATGGCCCTGACTTCAGGTTTCTTAGGTTCTGGTTTCCTTAACTCTTTAGGCAGCAGGTTGTTTTCATTATGCCATTTTTTCAGACATTGTGGCTCATGGATGGCAATCGATTTTGTTCCATATTCACGACCACAAATGTAGCAAATGATGGTTGGTGGACGCCTAATCATTGCTGGCTACAAATAATAGAAAATGTCTATTAGATAACATTTAGAAAATTATATTTTAAACTTATAAAGTATGGAAATTACATTTATTATACTTTCAAATTAGCTAGAAAATCAATGTGTGTGTGTTTTTTTTTTAATTCCAATCAATCTGTTAAAGTTCACTTTCTTGGAAATTAAGAGAACCCACTTATGTTATCTGAGTGATTGGGGTCAGGCGAGGTTGTGGGTTCGGAAGGAGGATAGAAAATAAAGATGAGTCAAGCATAATTCTACATATTGGCACTTGATAAAATATATTTCTTTCATCTAATAAATATCGTCTTCTGACTATTCTACATGATGGGAGAATACAATGATAAATTAGGTACGAATCATCCTTTCAAAAACATCAGACCCTAGTACACCAATATATATGAGAAAGAATATGTCATTGGCAAGTTTATAACAGTGTTATGCTGCCCACATTCTCTCCTGTAAAGAACTTGGTACTACAAGTTCCTGGGATTCTCTGCCATTTTTGACCTGGAGTAGGCTCCGCCTACAGGCAGAATAGCAACTCAGTTACAGGTGGAAGTTAGTGGATGTATACCCAGCTTCCTCCCTCAGGCTAATTCCAGACAGTCTTCCAGAAGCCCCCACTGAGATTGCATCTCCATTGTTCATTAACACACTATTTAGGCTTTCTTCTCTTCCCTGTCTCTCCTCCCCCTACTTTACTGGGGTTCCCTGAGATTACCTTCCAAACAAAGTATTAATACTTGAACTCAAATCCTTTTCTTAGCATTTGTTTCTAAGAGAATGAAATCTAAGGAAGAGTGAAGGTAAAATGCACTAGGGATCTCTGCTTCTATTAAAAGTTACAAGAATAAGGATAACCAATGGACACAGACATTGGTGAGGGAGGGTATTAGGGCATGTGATGGGGAGTAGAGGAGGGAGGAGGAGGGGGAGATCAATGGGGGAAAAGGAGACATGTACTACTATTTGTAATACTTTAAACAATAAAAAAATAAAGTAAAGTAAGAAACATTGCTTCCAAACAAACCAGAAAACCTACTGAATCATAAATTTTTGAGGCCATGGAGACTCTGAGTTACAAGGTAAAATTAATGAACTGAAGGAATTGCCTAAGTTTGAGGGTGGGTCAGCAGAACCAAGAGAAAACCTCCCACACTCCATCTTTAAGTGAGTACGGACAGCAGTTGTCTGCTTCATAAAGGGGCAGGACAGATGACCAGAACCCCTCTCCCCTACCCAGGAGGTCTTACACCCAGTAACAGGAGGTGACCAACTAATGCTGGAGAGAGGCAGGAGCATTGAGAGAAACCATCACTAGGACTAGAACTCAGGGCCTACCTAAATCTGAGGGTAGAGCTAGAGAATTAGGCCTGTACTGAGTACCAGGTAAGACTAGTTTACTGCTGGGAGATGGGGTGACAATAAGAGGACTCCCTTTCTGTTGCAGGCATGCAGGGTCCACCAGGGTCTAAGAATGCAGCAGGAGAATGGGGAGAAGCCCTTTGGCTCCAGGCCTTACACTAAGTGCAGGACAGGGGCAGTCTACCTCTGCGGGAGGTTTAAAGGCTTTAGTTCATAGAACATAACTAAAGCCAAGTCAAGGTCCAAGCCCTGCTAAATTACAGACTACATTACAACCACTTACACTCACAGCCTGACAGAAGAGGCATACTCATTTCTGGGTATAAGTATAATTTACCCCAGAATCTTACAATGTCTAGCATTCAATCAAAATTATAAAGCATGTGCCATGTGCGCACGCACACACACACACAGAAATTATGCTCCATGATATTTTAAGCGTAACCAGATCAAGGTATAGCCTACATATTGTGATTATCAGCGTTTTTAAATGCTTATTTAAAAGTAATTATTTTAATTAATACTTAAAATAATTATTCAAAATAATTCTATGTTAAAGAGTCTAGAGGTGGGCAGCATGTGTAAATATATGGGAAATTAAAGCTGAGAGATGAAAGCAGGTAAAAATTATTCAAGGAAACCAAAATGACAGGAAACTGTTCAGCAGGGAAATAACCTATAACTGCACTTAAAGTTAGTCTGGTTGTAATGTATCTAAGTGGGCCATCAGGGCAGCACATCGCTGAGAGCTTGAACTCCCGTGACTTTGGGGATGAGAAATCATGGTCCAAGAGAACGCCAACGTTTTATCATAGGTAACAAGGAAGACGGGTTGGAAAAGAAGAAAAAAAAAAAAAAAAAAAAAAAAAGAACCGGTTCTGGACCTGTTGCATTTGACAGTGATAGAATTTAAATGTGAATAAATCCAACCTAAACTGGAAATAGAGGCCTGTGATTCAGGACTAGTGAGCCCCAGCCCTGTTCACACAGAAAAGACATCTAATACCGTGAAAATTCCAGAAAAGGAGCATATAGAGTTTAGAGAAAAATTCTTGGGCGAATATCTACAGTAAGGAGATTGAGCAAGAGAATGACTGAGGTTCAAGTTTGCAGTGCAAGTAATAGGGAATGAGATAGAAGACTCCATTCAGAATTCTGGAAACACTTTAGGATTCCAGAAAGACGGTGTCAAATGCTACTTTGTCAAATACTACAGAGAGGAAGGGTGGTTGAAAAAGATAGTTAGATTTGGTTCCCATTAGATTATAAATCTGTGACTTTCGAGAGTTCAGTTCCAATGGATATAAAAATAAAAACTAAATTTTTAGGAGGTAAACAACAGGTCGAGGAGAAGAGGAATATATAATACGTCCAAAAAGTTTGCAGAGAGAAAATCTGAGAGTTAAGTACCATTGAGGAAGGATTTGCATTGTTGTTTTTAGGATAGGAGGATGTTTGACAGAAAGAATGCAGGCCTAAGAGGAAAGGGATAATCAAGTTTAAAAAGGCCTCAGAGGAGGCAGGAGGAGTTGTAATCAAAGGTGTGATGGGAAACGGCAGCCTCCGAGGGAGGAGAGGAAATGGATGAAGTGAGAGGAAGGTTGTTGTAGAGAAGGGAGGCGCTCACGGAGCCCACATAAGACGGACTTAGTTTTCTAAGGATGAGGCAGATCATTCTTCAGAGAATGAAGCAATTCAAATTCTGGGAAACTGGATAGTGAAAAATACTGGGATTAGGCACTACAAGGAATGTAATGTGATTTAATTAGGGAAGAATCCTCACCCAGTAATGGAAAAGGTCCAGTTATGTTGAGCTGCAAGAAATGTTAGTGGAATTAGAGGACCTTTTCCAATATATTCGTAAGTAGCACGGGATGTCATGAAAGCAGAAACTATTGTAATTTGTTGGTGTGGCCTTCCTGGGGAAATAAAACATGGTAAAATGTGTGTGTGTGTGTGTGTGTGTGTTAGAATTAGCCTGCTGTACACTAAGATTGTTGGAGGTTTACACCTGCAGTGCAGAAAGCATAGAAGAAGATTGAAATCAGAAGAAAGCACATACACGATGCCAAGCAGAATTAACAGATTATGGGTGAGTAGACCCACAATTAATTTAGACCAAGCAAAATGTAACATGGAGCTACTCACTTGAGGATCTTTTTTTTTTTTTTTTTAAAGAACATTAATTTGAGGTAGAAAAATTTTACTCTATTATTCTATATTGCATTATGGCAACTAAATACCAGTTACCAATTCTTCCTTGTTATTAGCTACGTAGCATCTAACATTTAAAATGTGAATTAAAAATATTAGTGGAATTCAATACTTAAGAGAAAGGATAAAGCAGAAGCAATAATTTTAGAAATACCCAAAAGTTCCTTCCTATGTTTTACATATTTATTTACTTGAAACATTAATTAAATTCAGGCTTTTTGGCTTAAAAAGAAAAGCTGTTGTTTTGCTTTGAGGATAACGGATTTGTTAAAATTCCCTATGGAAAGTATGAGCCAAATTCAGCATTTAACCAAGCGTACAAGCAAAATAAATGGCATGGGTCATAAGTGAAGGCATTCATGTCACATTGTCAGGAGGTTTCTTTTTAGAAAGAAAAACTAGAAGAAAAGAGGCAGACCCAGAGGCCAGAAGGCACACACACGAAATAACTTAAAGGGATGTGGGAGAAAATTAATACCATAAAAAGACTGAGATGTTCCATGTTATGCTTTCCAAAGCATGCCGCGTGCTCTGCATTTGTGGTTGAACTTCAGTTGAACCTGCAGCATATTCCATAGTCTTAGGTTTTAGATATCTCCCTCCTAAACCATGCTCTGGGGAAGCGCAAGCAACCCAGGCACAGTCGGGGAGAAAAAGGCACCTCTGTGGGCCTGAACGGAGACGAGACCCTCTTCTGTTTGTCCGTGAATTTCACAGTCGCCAGCCTGAAATTTCCAGGGAAAACGGAACAGGCTCCAGCTTGTGGTTATAGCCAGTACCCCAGCTGCCAAGTTTTACCCTCTCTGTCCAGCTTGCGGATGGAAGCGGGTGTGTGAGGGGTGGAGAAGACAGGAAGATGAGACCCTAAGCCTGGCGGGACCCTTTCTTGGCTCCTGGGCAATGTAACAGGGCCTAGCCGAGGAAGGCCAGCGGAGGGAGGTTTGCCCCAGGACCTGTGCACACGGGACCTTGCCAGGGCCTGCCAGCTCCAGGAAAGTGTAATCACAGGAAGGCCAAGGGGAAGCAGATAAGTCCGAAGTTTCTGCGGAGCCAAAGATTCCATCCACAGCTTTCCTGTAAACATTTCGGATGTTGGAAGGGAGAGGCACTACTTTTAAAACACTGAGGTAAAAGGTTTTTTAAAAAGTGGATCTCTGAACCTCCATCAGAGCTCCTTCAGGGTTGCACTGTTTTATGGGAGGAAGGAGAACACGTGCGGTTACTCCCGCAGTTTCCTGGGAAGGTCTGTTTAGGCTGGACACAGACAGGGGCACTTGAGCACTTGAGGGAAAGCTTTCATGTGTGCATTTCTTTTAACTTGAATCCAGTCATTTTCATATGTTTCCAATCATTTTGCTGGCCACTATTGGAATTATCATTTCATGTTCTATTCACATTTTTTTTTTCCTTTT